GAGGATTCAACCGAGGGCTGCTGTTTCTCTCTCTAGAAAAATTGGCAGAGCTTCGCTAACAAGGTTTTCGCACACGGAGGAATGCATGGCCTTGGGGTATTTATAGGCGCTGGAATCCGGGCTTGGGCCCGAAAACCGGGCCTCCGGACGGACCGCCATCATTACGCACCGTGTTTTCACCCAACCGGTGACGCCGCCCACGGGCGGCCAACCGTCACGCGCCACGTGTACCCCCCCCAACGGCTATATCCTGACGTTACATATTCCAACGGCTATATTTCCAACGGCTATATTCTGGAAGCCCCCGGGTTTTCTACTTCACTCCGTTTCGTCAAGGAGAGCCTCCGGGTACACTTACCCAGAGACGCCCCCGGGTTGTGCCCCACACAACACATAACAGACGCCTTCGGGATCACTCCTTCAGAAACCCAGGGCTTCATATCAGGGCACCCCTCGGGGATTCCCCCTCAGCACTGCAAAACCGGGTAGCCCCCGGGGAGTTGCCTCATTGACGGATAACCCATGGCACACAGGTAATGGGAGCCCTCGGGTATCTTCATCACCAACTAATCAACAAACAGTGGACCCCCCGGTAACGACTCCGCTGCTGCCCTCATCCAGCAGGCTCTCGATCCCCGGATTGAGGGGCTTCCCTTCGGCACCCCTAGGACATCAACAGCAAGCCTTCGGCTAATCAACACATGAGCCCTCAGGAAAAGAAGGGCCTTCGGCATTACCGTTATTCTCCATTTTCGACCAAGGTTTGACATTTTCGATTCATCATTGGGGGAATCCGGTGCACTCTTTTTCCCTCATTAGGATTTTTTTCCCACAGGGTTTTTTCTAATGAGGTTTTTAACGAGGCATCCCCCCAAAATGAAACGAAAAGCGTCAGCCTTCGGCCCACAACAGCAACGCAACTACTCTACTCCTTTTTACCACTTTACAAGTGTCTCAAGGAGTGGGGGACTGGAGGACCCCCTCGGGAAAATCATTAAATTACAAAATTAGTGAAATTCCAATAAACGACAAAGCAAGCCCTCAAGTCCCGACATGTGGGTAACTGAGGGACTGCCTTCGGCAGGGACATAAAAGCAACAACTCCTCACCAACTTCAGAGATCACGACAGGACAACATCAAAGGGCAAGCACAAATTACTCCTTTTCCCTCAAGTACCTTTCGGCAAAAGGAGTGAGGGACTCCTGATGGAGTATATGGCCCGGGAACCCCCGGCCCACAGACTCCTACTACTCCAGCGAAGGCCCAACAGGCCCAGAAGGTCCAACAGGCCCAAATCAAAGCGCCCAGAGTACCAAGCAGCCCGCACTACGCGCCAGGGGTGCCTTCGCCCCCCTGGCCGAAGGCTCTAAACTCTCACAGAACGGGTTTCTCAAGCAAATTAAGAAACTGGGAGAAAACGGCGAAAAAAGTAGCCCTCGGCACTGTGAGCCCTCGGCACCAGGGTGCCATCGGTTGGAGGAGCCCTCGGCACCTGCTCTATAGCCGAAGGCATCTCACTCGACAAGATATCCGCCTCACATGCGTACAGATCACCGTACCCTGCACAGACGTCCCATCCAACAGCCGCATTAAATGCGGCCACATGCGGCTGCCAGCGCCAACCAGTTGAGGTGACCCCTCGGCCAATGAGCGCTTGACACGTGTCCCTGTCCGGCATTTATTGCTACTATAAATAGCACCCCATTTCCCCATTTGTAACCACGCTGAAAACGCTCCACATTTATAATACACTCTCTCTCTCTCTCCACATTTACTTGCTCTGACTTCTCTCTAAGTTATTCCCAGCAATAACCCTTCGGATATATACCCCCGGGTAGACTATCCATCAGCACCCTCTTCGGATTGCTAGTAGAACTTCACCAAGATGTAGGTCCCTTCGTATTTTGAGCGGTAAGCCATCCGTCGGCTTGCTGGTTCGGCCGTCCGTCGCCTTGCTGGCTCAGCCGTTCATCAGCTTGCTGGTAGGACTTCACCATGGAGGCCTAGCCGTTGGCCGTGCGTCCCTTCGGAGAAGGGCAGTCAGCGGATGTGATGCTTCTTCGAATGGGGATCCTCGAAGTCCTCGTCGTCGCTGAGCCTCTCAATTTCAGGCTTCTTCGTCGAGGTGTCCCCTTCTTGACTGCCGGTGGAGTTCCTCAGGGCACCTTTGAAATATTGTTGGAGTTCACCCCGTTGAATCAAGCGCTCAATGGCTTTCTTCAGCGCGACACAGTCGTCTGTATTGTGGGAGGTGTTCTTGTGGTAACGACAATAAGTGCCGCCCTGGTGGACGAAATAGATTTCCTTTGCCGACCGGGGATCTCTGGGAATGAGACCTTGCTCCTCTACGTAGTCGAGGATGGTATCCACCGAGTGCATGAGTGGAGTCATTGGGACGTCCGTCCTCGGCTGCCATGGGCGCTCCTTCCAGCTCTGACGGGCATGGCCTCCGGCCGAGGATGCGCTTGGAGCCGACACATTGTTTGTCTTCTTTTATGGTTGGCCTCCATCTTTCTTGCGGGAGTAGAGCTCATCGGCGTCATCGTACAAGCTCCCTCGCTGGAGTGCCTTGGTGTATGACCCCGGCGGGTCAGTGATGAGGGTCCTCGCGTAGGGGCTGCTGCGGAGAACGCCTTGGAAGAGGATGAGGAGGGTGCGCTCATCGGCACCTTCGACCTCGTCTGTCTCCTTCGTCCATCGGTCGATGAAAGACCGGAGTGATTCATCGTGTTGCTGTTTGATAGAGAGGAGATGGGAGAAATGTTTCTTCATGCGCTTCCTTCCGACGAAGTGGGTGAGGAAGCGTTGGACAAGATCTTACCATGAGTCCACGCTTCCTTCGGGCAGCGCGTTGAACCACTCGTACGCTGGTCCCTCAAGAGTGAAAAGGAACCAACGACAGAGGTATTCATTAGATGCATTTACCACCAACATGTTGTTCTGATAGCGGATGAAATGCTCTTGGGGGTCGGTGCGTCTGTCATAAGGCTTGATGGCACTCCCCCGGTACTTCTCGGGTATTGGGGCCGAGAGCACCCTTGTGGTGAAGGGATTTTTTTTTCTGATTTGGATGACGGGGTCACCACGTCCGTCGGCCAGCTCCTGCTCTAGGGCACTGACCTTGTGCAAGAGGTCGTTGAAGTCGGGGTCCCTGGACGCAGCGGCCGTACGTGCCTCAGCCATTTGCTTCGCTTCCATCTGAGCGAGCCTCCTTTCAAGTTGGGCGATGACTTCATCTCGGGGGTCTTTGGCGGCCGTAGTGGCGACGTGCGTGCCCACGTGGGCTGCTTCGCCCGCTTTGATGTGGCGACATGTGTCGTCCCCATGTAGTTCCCCCCCCCCCCCCTTTGTCACGGCGTGGCTGATCCGCTGTCCGGGATACGGACCCCAAGCTCTCCCTTGGTGAGCCAGGCTCACGCTCACCAATCCGTCCCGCTAGCCTCTCCGATGCTGGCCAACGATGCGCGTCCCCTAGCCTATTGAAGGCCGAGGATCTACGCACCGGAGGCGGTCTAGGTCGACGAGGGGAAGAAGGATCGGAATGGGATGCCGTGTCTTGGGCCACCACTCCCTCATTGTTGCCGATGTTCGTGACCAATGGCTGAGGTGGTGGTGTAGTGCTCCCCCCCCCCGTCCTTGGCATCAGTGCGCTGAGGACGATGGGGTTCTGAGCCAGGCTGGCTATGATGGCCGATAGAGCGGCCTCAAGCTGAGGGCCAATAGTGGGAGTAGCTTGTTGTCCCGATGCACGGTCACTTTTCTCCGTGCACTTCTTCTCAAGGCCAATACGGGCGTCTTGAGCGTTGCCGTTAAGCTGATTGCGGAGGTCCGTCGTGGGGTCAATAGCCTCCTGGAAGACCTCCTCGTCTGCGACCTTATCGGCTGTAGCATCGTCGAAGCATTCACGATCCTCCTGAGTTTCAGGGATCGCCTTGCCGATGAGGTTACAGTTTGACCTTGTTCTTCCCATAATGAGTTAGCTGTGCTTGGTAGCGACGAAGGATGCTAACTTGATTGTTCTGGCTCTCAACGAGAGCACCGAATGATAGAGTATAACCTCTCAGAGAGAAGTGAGAGCTAGAGAGAGAAGTGATTTATATTAACGATTTTCGAACCCTTTACATGGCTCCAAGGGGAGTATTATAGGAAAAAAGTGGGTTGGGCTCCCAAGTCTTGGGCTTGGGAGGCCCGTTTACAATGAGGTCTCTATTAGGCCGAATACAAAGTGTGTAAATTGGCTAAGTATGAAATCCGGATCTGTGTGTTCTCTGTGGCCGACGGAGGTCTGGCCGACAAAGCCATGGCCGATGGAGACGCGACCGAGGAAGGCACGGCCGAGGGAGGCACGACTGAGGGAGGACAAGTCTTCTCCTTGGCTTCCGGAGCGTACTCTGGATTGACCCTTCTTTGGCCGATAGGATGCCATCTGGCCGACGGAGGGCCCACTGGGTGACAGCTGTGCTCCTCTTAGTCTTCTGAGTACTTTGATCTGGACTCATATACTCTATTATGGCCATTTACAGTATTTAAGCCAATTGAATAAAAAAGTTACTTTATTTTACTTATTTTCGTTATTGCATTATTCACTAGATTTTTTAATGAAGCGCTATATGATGAGTCATATAACATACATGGCATGACACAAATCACTCCGGCCTTCACTATAAATCTACGCACTCCTTCCGATCCTAAATAAACTTCACACTTTGACTTCACACAAATTAAGGAAATAAATTTGACTTTATTGTAGAGTACACTCTTGTGACACTGTTTGACACTGTTTTGATGTAAATAATTTGCCAAATAAGGAAGGGAGAAAAAGTGTGAAGTTTATTTTGCACCTACCCAAAAAGTACCCAAAAAGGAAAGTGTGAAGTTTATTTAGGACCGAAGGGAGTATAAATATAAATGCTTACTGTGAAGTCATATAGATTATATGACTCCATAGTAGAGTCATATAGATCTACATACATTTTTATAATTATTCAAGTCTGATCTGAACTGGTCTGATCTGATTTGGTCCGAGAGGAATTACAATCCAAGCAAAAACATCCTAATACTTCGTACTAGGGTAAAAAAGATAGAGTAATAAAAACATACGGACTATAAGCTCTCTTCTATTTCCATTTTTAGAAAATTACTTTTTTATATAGAAATTGCTCTAAATAGGAGCAAAAACGTTTTGAAATTCCAAAATAAGAGTATTGTGTTTTTTATTCTCTGAATAGGAGTAATCTGCCAAGTCTGGAAAAAATGTCATGTTTTAAAGCCTAATAATGTCAAACTTGCCAGAATTTACTCTTATTTAAGGAATACAAACCATCATACTCCTATTTTGAAATTTCAAAACTTTCAAAATATACTCTTTAAAAATATACTCCATTTTATACTCTTTTTTATACTCCATTTTCACACATCCGCAAAAATATACCGCGGCAGAATACTCCGAGCAAAGATGAAACAACTCGGATTTCAGAAGCCCACATTACCCAATACCCATATCATTGCATTTGAATCGGTTCACCCTCCTCTGCGGTGGGAAGATGCCCATTGTGGGTCATGAAATTCCTCACCTCTCTCCGAATCATCTTCTGCAACTCCGTCAAGAACGCCTGGCTGAACAGAGGAGATTTCCCGACCGTTTGACGTGGCGGTGGCGCGTCCGAATGGGGAAAAGAAACCGGCGGAGTTTTATCTTTTCGGGTTATCTGATTCGGATTCCCACTTGGCCCGGACAAAGAGAGACTGAGAGAGGTGAGCGGGTCGGCCATTTCGACCACCGTGAATGGAGTGAAGGACCTCTCCCCGCTGGTTCTGCTCAAATCGGATTCCCGTGGACTGCCCGGATTCGGCCCGAGGCCCGAAACAGAGGATCTCTTCAGCGGCTGACCCGGTGGATAATCGGACAGTCCCGCCGACTTGCGCTTCAGGGTAGCGTTCCAGTGGTTCTTAATGGCGTTATCCGTCCGACCCGTAAGCAAACGGGCGATGGTGGCCCACTTGTTACCGAACTTAGAATGGGCCCGGATTATAGTCTCGTCCTCCTCCGGCGTGAACGGCCGGTGCTCCACTTCGGGTGAGAGCTGGTTGCACCACCGGAGCCGGCAGGACTTTCCGGACCGGCCGGTAATGGATTTGCCGATGAGTAACCAGTTGCGCGGGCCGTGCATCTCCACCAGCCTCTGCAAGAGCTCGTCCTCTTCGGGGCTCCAGGGACCCCTGACCCGATCCGATTCCATAACCAAATCTAAAACTGCCCTGGAATTGGGCGGGTGATATAACGGGGAGACGGCGAGTTGACAGTTACGAGCACAGTTGGCATGGGACACGCGTCGAGCTGTGGGATATGCGAGTGGACACCTATTACTCAGGCGTTGGATTCGGAAGGAAGGAAATCAGGAAGTTGGATTCAGAATGATTTATCATCACCCGGAAAATAAGAAAACGGTGGGTGGGCTGACTAATTCTAAGTCATCCATCCAAAAAAAAAACTTGGGCAAGCCATATGCCAATGGTTTACATGGTTGGGTTTAATTAAATGTTTCCAAAGGCTAAATCCTCAATCCCATCTCTCAAGAGCACCCACACTCTGACTCGACAAGATTTTTCGAAGGATGTAAGTCACGGTGACTCAGTCGGTTCAGTGATAGTAGACTTTAAACTCGTGCGCACCAGAGGTCTAGCCCAGAATGCATGAGCTGTAACATCCACACGGTCGCTACAAGTTTCAAATCTTGATAAATGTTTCAAATTTCTCATCACTGAACCAACTATCCATGTGAGTTGATTGAGTTGAATTAAAGATATTATGTTAGGTTGAGTTGTGTTATGGGTACCCATCCCATTTTTACCCCACAACTTATGTGGTCCATCAACTTAAATGTATTGCCCTAGTTAAAAGTGTTGCTCCATTTATAACCATGGATGAAGTAAAAATGGCATACCCATTTTTGGAATACCTTTAGCATTTCACATGTTAGGTTTTGTTTTGTTTGATTATAGGCATTGATTACTGGCTATTTGTTTGTGACTCGATGTGAATTCTTTTGACTATTCAGTATATAGTTGACCTAATTTGACAAACACATCTGATCAAACAGATGTCCACAATTTTGAAAAAATGTTACTCCATTAATATGGCTATAAAGAAATGAAGAAAATGAAACGAAATATTCATGTCTAGCAAGTGTTTTAAATTTTTGTCAAATGAATTATTACTTATCTTACTATATACACCTCTTCAAAAAAAATCTTACTATATACAAAAATGAACACTACTTCATCTCAAACCATCACAATCCATCTACAGTAAATACTACTCCCTTCATCCCGGTTGAATCTTGACGTTTGGTTTTGGCACGGTGTTTTATGAGTTCAATTAATAGAAGAACAAATGTCTTGTGATTCTCAAAAAAGAAAACAAATGTCTTGCATACCCTTTAACTTTTGGGGGAATTAATGCTATCAACTCAAATGTAAAAAATAGGTGAGTAGTGAAGGACAATTAGCACATTTAATGTAAAAAGACTTGTCTAAAAACGTAAATAAATAAATAAGACGTTCCCAAAAGGAAAGTGTAAAGATTTAAATGAGACGTGAGAGTATATGGAAAAAATGAAAATACGCTAGCTACGATTAGTGGAATACTCCTTCAACATACTGTATTAATACACAATTTTGCTGGGTGTACACCATTTTTGTACACCTTTGGTACCCCATATAAATACTCCCCTATTTTTTTTTACCTCACTTCTTTTCCATCCCAATTCAAAATTTTCCCTATTTTCTTTCGCCTTCCATCCCTCCCAATTCCCGCTCCACTCCCGCACCCACTCCCGCACCCACTCCACGATTCGGACTGCCATTTTCGCGGACAACCCACTCCGCTCTGGAGAAACGAACGCGGGACAACCCAAAGGCTCTGCTCTGCTCTGGAGAAACGAACGCCGGACAACCACACCCATCCATCGCTGGTCGAAGTTCGTAGACGGACAACCGAACCCATCGAACTGAAGTCAGTTCGTCCAGGCGCTGGTCTAAGTTCGTAGACGCACTGTTGTGCTCCAACCCCAAGAGTCGCTAGTCCAAGTTCAACGAAAAAAGAAGATAACTTTGAAGTCATGGTGCAAACAAGTTTAACCGATTTTGCTAAAAGGTAATATTTTCATCCTTGTGCAGTACTCACCTTACCATAATTGATTTAATTTGATTAAACTAGACCTAATTGAGTGTGATGTTTTATCTAGATGTCTGTCATTCATATTCCTGTGTCTGTCTTTTTTTGTAGTTGTCTGTCAATTGCCTAGAATTGTTTGTCTCGTGTTTTCAGTTGTTTGTGAAGAAATTTTAAATGTCTGTGCTGTGATACATAGATGTCTGTCATTCTTATTGAGTTGTCTGTCTTATTTTGTGTGCATTTTTGGAAATGTCATAGGGCTCTCGAATTGCAAATTCCTGTCTGTGACCACTTCCCCGCTCAAATATCACAGTGTTCTGAATTTAAAGATGCTACAAAGTTGATGAAATCGGGGTTGACTCCTGCGCAACTTGCTGATTTTAGGAAGATGCCGTGGGGCCATCTTCTTGATGTGCCAGAGCTTCAGTTCTCAGCGCAAATTGTCCATAGCCTCTTGTTGAGACTAGTGTGTGACCAGCCTAAAGATGAACTATGGTTTTGCGTGAATGACAAGTTGTTAAAATTTACCTGTAAGGATTTTGAACGCATAACTGGGCTCCGTTCTGTTGGTCCAACTCCGGTCATCTCCGATGTAGATGAAGGCAATGGGACGTTACTAGATAAGTTCTTCGGTGGTGCCAAGGAGATCAGCTTTGGGACCTTGACGACAAAGATGCAGTCTATAAAGCCGAAAAAGGCAGGACCTCACGGTGATCCTCTCAAGCTTGCATGTGCTTTATACGTGTGATAGAGTATATCTAGAGAGAAGTGAGAGCTAGAGAGAGAAGTGCAATAATATGTTTCAATAGAATGATTTTGTAACCCCTATAACTACTCCCAAGGGGAGTATTTATAGAGAAAATTAGGGTTGGGCTCCCAAGCCTAGGGCTTGGGAGGCCCATTTACAACTGGACCGCTACTGGGTCGAATACAAAGCCACTAATGGGCTGTATAAATGAATAAGTATAAAATCCGATTCTGTGAGGTCTTCGTGGCCGACGAGGGCACAGCCGACGAGGGCACGGCCGACGAGGGCACCCGGGTTCCTTGGACTTAGGACCATAATCCGAGTTGGCCCCTTTTCGGCCGACGGGGGCGTCTTGGCCGATGAGGGCGCCACTCTGTTGTCTTGTGCTTTCTGTTCTTCCGAGTATGTGGGTCCGGGGGCTCAGACCCATATACTCCATCAGGAGTCCCCCACTCTCTAAGCTGAGACGTAGACGAAGTGAAGGAGAGTAGATTCCTGTGCTTTAGTGCTTTTGGCCGATGCGGGCATCCCCGGGCGTTCAGCCGTTGCGGCGCTAGCGTTGTTTCCTCTTTGGTGATCCTGTTCTGTGCTTTGGCCGTTACCTGTCCCTCGCTGTGGGCGGGGAGGCCGTTGTTTCCTTAATGTGTTCTTTTGAGGATGATGAGTGTCTTGTTTCAATGGCGGCCGTTGAAAGGCACGTTTTGCTTGGGCGTTGATGGTTGAAGTTTGTGTTTGGGCAGATGAGGCCACTGAAGTTGATCCTTGCTTCGAGGACGATGGCGTCCTTTCCTTTGGGTGGCCGATGAGGGTGCTCGTGCACTCCCTTTGGCCGTTGTTGATGATGTCATGTGCCTCTGGCCGACGAGGCGCCATTGTGATGCGTGGACGATGTGGCCATGCTTTGTGGTTACATTCATGTTCTTTGCATTGATGCTTTTTGTTTCGTTGAGGCCGATGTAGTCCCCCAGTCCCCCACTGCTTCAGGCCGAAGAGTGTGAGGGGTGAAGGAGTTGCATGAGTCCCTGGCCGAAGCGGTCTCTCCGTAGTCCCCCTGAATCCAACCCTCATGGCGATTTTCTGGCCAAGGTAACCCTGTGGGAGAACCCTTGTGCGCAGATCGCTTGTAGAGAGTTATCATCAAGGGTTAGTACGAGGAGCCGATGGCTGTGGGCTTCTTTGTTCATTTTGTCCTGTGGCCGTTATGGGTGTTTGTTACGTTCCTGGCCGTTGCCGTCTCCTGGAAAGAAAATGGGACGTGGGCTCCTGCTGGTACTTGTGAAGCCGGCGCGTGTGTAGGCCGTAGAGTCTGCTTTGCTGGTGGGCTGATATTGGTTTTGGCCCGTTGGTGACGTGGTGGCCTCCCATTGGCGACCGCTGACGTGGCCATTGGGAGGGTGCCACGTGTAGTGACCGTTGGGTGGGGGGTTCTATAAATACCCCTCCCCCTCCGACGAGAAATCACATTTGCATTCTGAATTGTCGAAGTGCTGGCCATTTTTCTAGAGAGATAAACTCCCAAGGTTGTTCTTCGTGTTCTTCGTTGTTCAAGGTTAGTGTTCATCGCGATCTTCCTCACTTTTCATATTTTGCTTCCTAGAGTATTGATCTAGTGTTAGGCGTTTGAACACCCTTAGATCTTAAGTTAGTCTCCTTAGGCCTGTAGTAGTAGTTATGAAGAGCTTGAACGAAGATTACTACCCCTACGACGACCAGCCCTCCACGAGGTCACTTGACTACGAGGTGCTCGAGGAGTTCGAGGAGGAGATAGAGCATTTAAGTCCCTACAAATCCGAAGAGCCGGTGGACGAGGAAGGTGAGGACGAGGAGTCTGCCTCCTCTTCAAAAGGTGAGGACGTAGGTGCGTCCCGAGTGGTGGACGGGGCGTCCACTTCTGCTGTCATTCCCTGCCCGAGGCCGGTGTCTGCCGTGAAGGGAGCAGTTAAGCCGAAGAGGGTGAGGAGGCCGAAGAATGGGCCGGGCCTCTCCTACCTGGATCTCACCAATATCTTTTTGATCAAGCCGGAGAGTAGTGCGGCCGACTATCTTGTTGCCCAGATGTACGTGGGGCCGTTCGGGCGGGTTAGGGCACCCAGGCCGACGGACCATGTTCTTCTTCCGCCACCGGGATACTTTGGAGTATACCCGATGAGTTTTGCTAAGGGGTTGAGGTTCCCCCTTCACCCTTTCATCACTGAGTACCTGGACATGGTAGGGCTTCCTCCGGCCTTGCTGACGCCGAACAGCTACTCCTTGATGGTGGGGTTTTTGCTCCGGTGTGAGGAGCTAGGCTACAGGCCGACAACGGCCCTCTTCATGAATCTGTACCAGATCGGCCGAGGAAGCCACAAGAACTGTGCGGCCTATGCTACTCTTCAACAGCTGCCGAAGAAGAGGAGCTTCACGGACTTGCCTTCGTCCATTCATGGGTGGAAGAGCAAGTTCGTTTTCGTATCCCTGGGTGAGAGTGGCACCGAGTTCCCCTCTCTCGGCCATACCGGGAGGTTCAATCTCCATGACCCGCCGAAGAGCTCTATCTTGGACGCTCAGGTGGAGGCTTTCCTGGAAGGGGGGCCGAGGAGCGTGAAGGATTACGTTACTGAATACAAGATGACCGCCCTCGGCTTCTTCAGATACCACCTGTATGGAGATAAGGAGGATGACCTCCAACTCTGGCCGAGGATGACCACCACATTTGAAGAGGCCGACGGCCCGGATTTGGGCATTCCTGCTGAGGCCGATGGTAATTATTTCTTCGGCTTTCTGTCTTTATGTTTTGTTCCTTTGCCTTACTAATCTGTTGTGTTTTTCCTTTGTAGATTTTGCCATGGACCGGCGTTCCGTAATGGCTATTGCCAAGGCCAAAGCGGCCGAGGAGCTGGCTGCTAAGGCGGCCGAGGCGGCCAGACGTGCCGCGGCCGGTGGGAGTGGGGCTACTACTGATGCGCCCCCAAGGCCTGCCCAATCGAAGAAGAAGAGGCCGGCCACTGACGGCTAGAAGAAATTAACTGAGGCCGGCCTGAACG